GCTGGTGCCCCTCAGTGGATGAAGTCTGCCTTGGGCAACCATCTAAAAATCTTACAAAGTCTATTTTTCCTCTGACCTATCTTTGTGTCCAGAAGAATTAATTTGGGGGAAAAAAATGACCAAAAACTTTGATCAGCAGGGGCTGCCACTGTCAGGTCTATGGTTGGAAACAGCCAACCTCTGGCTGGGGGCCTGAGGTCAGAGGTGCATGAGCAACACATTTGACTGATTATTATCAGTTCTCACGGAGTCATCTCAGTCCAAGCAGGCTGGTCTCTGCTTCTAATGTGCATTTCATTATAATCCAAATCCTTGTGCATATCTTACAAAATGATACAACTTACCAAGTGATAACTTTGAGGAACTTTCAGTATGACCAAAATTGTCTATCTTAGGAGTACCTTAAAACAAAAGGGCAATAAATAAATAAATAAAAATAAACCCAAAGCAAAACAAAAAAAGAACAGCAACATTTTTAATATTCAGTGGTTTGCCTTCTATGATTAATATGAAGAAACTTAGAATTTAGGTTGGTACGTGGAAACGCCAATCCCAGTCTCCCTGACATACATTAACTAGTGCATATATTAATAGGTCCTTCATATGCTAAATCCCGTCTGGAAATGCTGATTGGGAAAAACCTGGGAAAGAATCTACGTATTTCTGAGGTCCACCAAACAGAACAGGGACTAAAGAAAGCCCAAGATATGAAACAAGCCTTGCTGAAGGCAATATTTACTTTCTGTTGAGTAGAAATTGACCAGTCTCAATCCAGTTAGGAGAAAAAAAAGCAAATTCATGGAGAATTTCAGAAATCACCTTCAAAAACAGTTTGGGTAGATCAACGGGCACTGTTGGGGTGGGGGGTTGGTACTCAGATGCATGGATCACCTGGGAAGGGGCTTGAAGGGCCTTCTGAAGTGATGCGTTCTATATTTTGATAGGGATTCTGGATACACCGGGTTATGTAACCGTAAAAACTCATGGTACACTTAACATGTGTGCATTTCATCACATGTAAATTTTACTTAAAAGAACCGTAAACAAATATTGACTGCAGTTAATGATATGCTTGCTGGAATTATTTAAGGATGAAGTGTACTGTCTGCAATGATGTCCTGTTGCCTTCAATGACTTCCTATTACTCCTTCAATGAAGACTTGCTTCACCTACAAGTATCCCTGCAAGACCTGGCCTCTGCTGACTTCCCAGCCTCCCCTGGGACATGTCTTCCACACCAGGCATCTTTTAGCTCTGTGAATCAGCCTTACTGCCTCCAGGCTTCAGGAACTTGGCACCGTGTTCTGTTGACCTGGAACACAATTTGCTCCCATGAATCCTTACTCTCTGGGTTCGAGCAGGATCAGTTCTTCGTTCCTTGCGCTGTTTTAGCCCAGGCAGTTTTTCTTGGCTTCATTTACTGTTCTTGTTGTTAGTTGCCATCCAGTTGATTTTGACTCATGGTGACCCCATGTGTGCAGAGCAGAACTGCTCCATAGGGTTTTCAAGACTGATCTTTTGGAAGCTGATCGCCAGGCCTATCCTTTGAGGCGCCTTCCGGTGGGTTCTAACCGCCAGCCAGCCTTCCGGCTAGTAGCCTCGCTCTTATCCATTTGCGCCACTAAATGGTGATTGTTAAACTATGGAATGAGAGAAAAGAAGGAAACATTGGGGGAAGGACGCTACCAAAGTTCCTAAAGGGGGGGGGGGTAGGAGGGAGGCTGGTGGCCCAGTGTAGACTCCTAGGTCACCGCCCACCACCACCTTCGAGAGTGGCAGCTGAGGGGCGACGCTTGATTAGGGGCCTTGATTGGCGTGGCTGGCTGGCTCCTCCTCGTCAGGGGACCTTAACTTGCAACCTTGGTTGCCAGCGCAGCGTCAATCCTCAGAGCCACGCCCGGAGGTTTTGCAAAGAGGAAGCGGCGGCCAGAGCGGGTGAGAATCCCGGCCAAGGTCACCTGGCATAACAACGGTTTCCCCCACCCTAGGTGCTTCCATCTCTGAATGTGAATAGACCTAAGCGCTCCTTTCTCTCGCTCCTTTCACTCCCTCAATTGCCGGCAAGGAGAATAAAAATGCGGTCTTTAACCCATGCATCTATTGTCAAGATTCTCCACAAGTGTGCTAAGTCCATTCAATGGGGAAGCAAGAGTCTCTTCAATAAACGGTGCTGGGAAAATTGGATTTCCACATGCAGAAGAATGAATCAGGACCCACGCCTCATACCATACACAAAAAGCCATTCAAAATGGATCAAGAAGACCTTAATGTAAAAACTATAACCTTGATACTCTTAGAAAAAAGCTTAGGGATGTGGCTGCGGGGGCCTAGTTTTTAATGATAGATTATCAGCTATTATATCAAAAACACGAACAACAAAAGACAAAATAGACAAATGGGACCTCATAAAAATTAAACACTTCTTTTTGGTCATCAAAGGACTTTTATCAAAAAAGTGAACAGTCAACCTACAGATTGGGAAAATATCTTTAGGAACCATATAGCCAACAAGGGTCTACTACCCAAAATATATATAAAGCTTCTATGATTTAACAACAAAAAGATAACTCAATCAAACAATAGGCAAAGGATTTGAGCAGATATTTCAGCAAAGAGGGTATTCAAGTGGCCAGCAAGTACGTGAAAAAATGCTGAATGCCATTAGCCATTAGAGATGCAAATCAAAACCACAATGAGATATCAATTCATTCCCACTAGGATGGCTTGGAGCCCTGGTGGTGCAGTGGTTAAGAGCTGAGCTACTAACCAAAAGGTTGGCAGCCGCTCCTTTGAAACCCTATGGGGCAGTTCTATTCTGTCCTACAGGGTCGCTATGAGTCAGAATCCACTTGACGGCAACGGGTTTGGGGGTTTGGTTTTGTATTTTTTTATACGTATATATACATATACATATATTTGTAACTGCTGTCTTCTAGCGCCCGGCATGGGTCTGGAGTTCGCGTTCAGAGCCTCGCGTTAGAGGTCCTGAGCCTTACACAAGGAAGGGACAGCCGCGCGAGGCGGGTCCTCGGAAGTCTGCCCCGGACATCCCGCGGGTCGCACTGTGGCAGCGTCGGGGGGCGCCGAACTCACGGTGCCCAGGTCCCTCAGCCTTGGACCCGCGCGGCGCCGCTTCCCAGTCCCAAGGGTGGAGCTCGGCTGCGCGAGGTGTCAAGGACAAACGCCCACCTGGCCCTAGGGCGGGTTTGACACCGCCTATGGCCGGGCTCGGCCCTAGAAAACTCCGAGAGGAGAGGCAGGGGTGCAACCCCACGAGGCCGGTTAAGGGTCGGTGTATGCACCGAGGGGCTTATCTGGGGACCCTCTGTAACACTTGCCCAGATTCTTTTCTCTCCCACCCGGCAAAGATGGATCCACAAGAGTCCTGCCCCAGAAAGCCAGGGTCCCGGGGAGGGTTTGGAGAACAGAGTTGAGCAAGCGTCTCCTGGGGCTGAAGGGCGAATCCAGCGTCGGCCAATGGCTGCAGGGGGGCGGGGAGGAGACCGGCCTGGGCACCTGCGTGGGCCGCGTCCCTTCCCCACCCTCGCCCGCCCTATCCCTCGTGGCCCCGCCCGTCCTCCCGCCAGCCCTCTTATCCCCCTCTTGGCCCGGCGGGCGCGTCCGAAGCCTACCCGTGCCAGCCCGCGCCTCCCCGCAGGGTCCTGAAGGGCGCCCGACCCGCGGCCGCCTGCTGCGTTCCGCGACGCTCTCGGAGGTGGGTGCCGGGCCGGGCGCACGACGCGGCCCGGGGGCCGTCGTCTGCCGGGCGGCTTGGAAGCGCGTGTGGTACTCGCTGACGCAGTTCGTTTTGGGTGGTCGTTTCGCCCTCTCGGGGGCTTTACCTCCTTAAGTGGCTTTCAACCCGAAGTCGCAGATACTTGGGGTCAGGGGAGGCCAGGAGCGGGACGCCTTAGGAGGCTGGGGAGGAGAGAAGCAGATGCCTTCGTCGTGGCTGACCTCTCTCCTGACCCCGTGTTCTTTCCTTTCTGAGTCACGACCCTGTGGGTTTCCTTATCGGGCTCATTGATCTTGCCTTCAATGAGGGGCTTCTTTCCTCAGCCATGGTTAACTTGTGCTGTGTGTCCATTAAAACGCCATCCTTCCCGCCGCCCCCGCGGGGCCGGGAGTGCAGGCGGCCGGCGAGGCTTCTCTGTCCTACCTGGCCTCTGCCCTCTCCAGGTGGGTGACCTGGAGTTTCCGAGGGACCCGGGAGCTGTGGCGGGACTTGGCCCGCGCGGGGAGCGGAGCGTAGGCTGCGGAGCTCCGGGGGAAACCAGAGATGGTACGTCCCTTCTCACCCGGGGCGGCCCGACCCTCAGCGTCCGCGGGGCTGACAGCCGGCTCGCAGCCGGGCGCGGGGCCCCCCGGAACCCACCTGGGGGGCTCGGGGAGCACGCGTCCGTGTGCGCGGTCCGACCTGGGGCCCTTCACGCTTCCCTCCCTGCTGGGAGCCCAGTACCCCGGAGCGGCCGCCTGCCCCGAAGTCCTTGGACGGCCGTGTTCTCGGCTCTCGGCCCCATTCCCGGGGGTGGGAGGGTGCGGTGGCGCCGACCGACCCTATTAAAGAGTTCTGTCGCACCGAGGAGGAGGGAGAGCGAACCTTGGAACTGGTTTTGCAGGAGCCCGGTTGGGGGCCAGATGTAGAGAGCGGGTGTTGGAAACCAGTCGTGCTTGGTCTAGGAGTGTTTGGAGAGGGAAGGCAAAGGCGACACTAAGCAAGAACCTGGAGTCGGGCGGGATCCCGGCAGATTTTCGTTTGGGGTTTTTTGGTTCTGTTTATTTTTTTCTGATGTTTTATTTGGTTTGTGGCAGGGGAGGGTCTGCGAGATCGAATTGGGGTATTTATCCAATTCCCTTCGACCTGGGGCTAGCTGGTGGAAGGAATCCGCTCTACCTTCGGGTCGCGCCCGGCAGGCAGGAGGGAGGCCTCGGGCAGCGCCCCGCGACGCGCACTCAGCCGCCCTTGCTTTCCGCAGATCCGCCGCGCTCTGTGGCCGGGGATGGCTCTGCGACCGCCTGGTGAGGTCGGGCCCCAGGACAAGGTGTGCTACCCGCCGGAGAGGTTTCAGAGCAACCCCCAGCACCTGGCCGCCTGCTACACGCCTTTCCTGCCCTATGGCCACTACGGGAACACCCTTACCACGGCCCAGGAGGACTACCAATCTCTCCGGCAGCTGGACTCTGCAGTGTCGGAGTCCCAGGCCATACTCCCCTTTGCCTTCGGAACGGCAGCTCCGTTGCTGAGCCCGAGCCTGGCCCTACAGACGGAGCCGCTCTATGATCTGCCCAGATATAGCAAGCTGCCACCGTGGTACCCAATTCCCCACCTCCCCAGGGAAGTGCCACACTTCCTGAATAGCGAGTATACAGGAGCCAGCAGTGACGACTTCGGCCACATTGGTGGCCAGAGCAACAGTGGCCAGTGTTTTGGACCTGAAACTTTAATCCCGCGGCCCCCTGTGGATGCTTCCCTGCAACCTGAAGGTCTGAAGACCTCCCAGTTACCTTGTGTCCCCAGCAAGGGGTCTGAGGATGTCTCAAACGCCCTGAACCCAGACGAGAATTCGCCTCATTACCACTTCACCGCGGAGGACCTGCACTTTGTTCTGTATGGAGTCATTCCCAGCTTGGAGCATCCAGTCAGCCTGCATCATGCGATTTCTGGCTTTCTGGTCCCCACGGGCAGCTCTGGTAAACGGAGTGCAAATCACCCCGGAGTTGGGCTGAATGGTAATAGAGGTGGGAGTGTCAAAGAGGCAAGTGGGAGCCAAGTCTGTACAAGCGGGGGTGGGGTGGGGAGTGTGCTCACATCAGAGAGGGAGCCGGAAGAGTCTAAGCTCACTTCTGAGGCTTTGCTTGTTTAACTGCATGACTCCTAAGACAGGCTTTGGTTAGAGCTGAGAAAAGTCACGGTCAGGAAAGAAGTGCTTCATGCAGCCCACTTGTAATCGGGATCAGATTCTACTGGATGCAGGCTGTCTCAAGTGACATCCTCATGCAGTTTACACTTGGAGTCCCAGCTCCGCCATCTCCAGCGACCTAAATCAAAGTCAGCACCATCCTCTGATCCTCCACTGTCTTAAATTTGCAAAATGGAGTTTATTACATAGCCTTGCAAGGTTGTTCTGAGCCTCATATGAGAAATTGTATATGAAAAGCTCATTTAAAAAGAGCAGGAAATGTGAACATATAAAGGATAACCATCAAGAACGATGGTTACCTCTGGGGGTGGGAAATACCTTGTAAAGCATTTCATAATAATGTTATTAACTAAAAACTATGGAAAAAAAATTCTTAACCCTAACTTTTTATAGGTTCCAATTCTCTTCCTCAAAATCTGGATAAGGATGCCCTTCAACTACCAGAAGGTAGGCACGCCTTCTGCTTGAATTTCTTTTCCTGAGCTAATACAGAGTCTGTGTTCACTGTATTTTCCTACATTGGTTTTTTCCTAGGTCTCTGCCTTCTGCGGACGACATTTGGTGGAGTCCCACATTTTGGCGTGTTCTGTAGCACCCTCATTGCCAAAGGAGTCAGGTTTGGGCCCTTTCAAGGTAAAGTGATCAATGCCAGTGAAGTGAAGACCTACGGAGACAATTCACTCATGTGGGAGGTAAAATGTGTTTCTAGTGTTGCTGCTGAAAATAGGGAAGCCGGTGGGGGAAAATCTTGGCCTTTGAACCTCGGGGAGAGTTCTGGCCTGAATGGACTCTCTACTAGCTGTCTGTTTTGCAACATAAAGGGGAGGAAAGACAGACCTCACTACTTGAGGATAGCATCTTTGCATGAATTCTATGAGTTCCCTGGTGCCTTAGGTCATTTTAGTCTGTGAAGATTAGCCATCGGATATGCATTTAAAGAATTAATACACTGTGCTATATTTATAGAAAAACCCAAGTGGCTGAAAATAAGCCAAAGGGGGAGAGAATTAGTTTTAAAATTTGATACATATTTGCCTATGCAGTTAGCAAAGGAGTTTTAAAACTGATACCCTTCAAGCTAGTGAATGAAGGTGGACAGGGCATGCTGGTGGGGCTGTAATTTATTACCTGTATGGAAAACAATTTATCATATCAGAAGGATCAAGTACCTTACAGTGTTTAAAACCTCTTGACACTGAATTTCTGCTTCTAGGAATATGGTTTAGGAAAGTAATCTGAAATTCAGACTGTGTAAAAGATGTTAATCATGGGGTTGTTCATAATGAAACATTAGAGACAGTGGAATTGCCACGAGTGGGGAAAGACTTACCTTATGGCCCCGTCAATATGCATGAAAACTAGGTGGGAATAAATATGCAATTGGTTGTCTGTAAGTGTTGGAATTAAATGTAATCTTCTCTTGTTTCCCTTAAAAACTCATCTATAAAATTATAAAGTTAACATATGCTTACTACAGAGATTTGGAAATTAAGAAAGTGATAAAGTGAAAATCTTTAAAAATCTGTCACATCATCCGTAGAGATGCCCTTAAGCCTAAGTCAATTTATATACCACTTGTATTGGTGTCAAAATCTAGTTCATAGAAATGGAAGTGTGAGATTTGGGTTATACATTTTTAATAAATAGATGTATAGGGTAGGCAAAAAATGTACATTCCAAACTTCCTATGTTATTTCATTTAGATCTTTAAGGGCGGTCAGTTGAGCCACTTTGTAGATGGAAAAGGAGGTGCAGGCAACTGGATGTCCTACGTCAACTGTGCCCGTTTCCCCAAGGAACAGAACCTGGTTGCGGTGCAGTGTAAAGGGCAGATATTTTACGAGAGCTGCAAGGAGATCTATCAGAACCAGGAGCTCCTTGTGTGGTATGGAGACTGCTATGAGAAGTTTTTGGACATTCCCGTGAGCCTTCGGTTCACAGACCAGGGCAAGCAATTACCTGGACCCTCTGAAGGTGAGTGCACCCTCTGCCTCACCCTCGGAGCCCTCCTCACGGAAGTTCTGGGCTCTTGTTCTCAAACCCTCCTGCAGCTAGCCCTCCATCTGTAAGCTCCTCCCTCTCACAGGCTGATGGAGGAGACTCAACAGACTGTGTCTTTAACCAGGGAGGCGTAACCCCGCTGGAGGAAAGTGCCTTCACCTTTTCTTCCACTTCTTCACCCTCTCCCAGAGAATAAAATAAAATGAAATAAATAGATGCAAACTCTGCCTTAGGCGAGCCGGTTTGATTCATTTCTGCTCAGGCTAACACAGCTGATGAAGTCAGAGAGTTAGAGCAGTGCCTTTCCAAGGGTGTGCTGCCGTATCTCCGTGGGGTGGGGAATCAGTGTGGTGACTGAGACCAGCATTCTGGAAAAGAAAAAGAATGCGAGTAAATTGAAGTAGAAAACATTGATGTCAATCACATTTACATTAGGGTAAACATTGTTTTGTGACGCTTTTGCTTCCAAAGGACGTGTATTTGTATGCTAGGTCTCAAATATAGAATGTATTTCTGACTGAACCCTTAACTCTCAAATTTAATGTGGGTATGAATAACTGGGGATCTTGTTAAGATGCAAATTCTAATTCAGAGGACGGGGTTGGGGCCCAGGATTCTGCATTTCTGGCAAACATCCAGATGATACCAATGCTGCTGGTCCCTGGACCACATCTGGGCAACGAGGAGTTAGAGGACCCTCATCCCACTCTCTGGGGATGAGCCTCTGGAATTTGTGTTTTTAATAAGCTCTCTAAGTAAATTTTATATACCCAAATGTTCAAAAACTACTGATCCAGTAGGTGGGGCAAGACATGCAAATTGCTTTAATATGTGTAATAAGATAGAAGAATAGATTATTATGGAATAATGAATAATACATGTTATAGGTAAAATCAAAAGCAAATTGGCGTTCGTCACACCACAGCAGTTGTCGGCCTCCAAGTCTACCTGCTGGACTGAGACCTCGGGTCAGGAAATGATTCTCAACAGCAGTATCCCTGCTCCTGGGCCCCAATGTGTGTTGAATAAAAGAAGAAGACATTACAACGGAATTAGGAAATACTGCTTAGATTAAATAAAGGATGTAAGTCAGGGAGAGGGGGAAGGCAGTCCAGACTCTGGGAGGACAGAAGCCAAAGGCAAGTAAAGATCCAACAGGGATTACGAAGCAGATAACAGCAGTCCCTTTCCGAAGTCCAAGCTAGAAGTAATGAGGGCCCATCAGGACTGTTTTGGTGAAACAGTCTCCTCGGGAGAAAGATGTGGCAGCCTGCTTCTGTAAAGATTTACAGCCTTGGAAGCCCTATGGGAGAGTTCTGCCCTGTCCTATAGGGTTCCTACGAGTCGGAATCAGCAACAGGTTTGGTTTTTTGGTTAATCTTTATGGGAGCAGATCGCCAAGTCTTTTCTCCTGTGGAGTGGCGTCTGGTGGGTTTGAACCTCCCACCCTTTAGTTAGCAGCCCAGCGCTTAGCCATTGTGCTATGAGCCTTCCTAGTCTCAGTAATACTCGTCGGGAAATTTATCTTCAGGAAATAGTCCAAAAGGAAAAACTTTGTCTGCAGGGATTTTTATTATAGCACCATCCATATTAGTGCTAAATCACAACCCAAGTGCTCGGTGGTAGGATAATGAAGTAACCTGGAATGGTATGCAGATATCTGAGATCACAGTCATATAATAAGCAACAGGAATGAGGACTTGTGATACTTGTTGTTAGTTACCAACAAGTAGATTTCGATGCTTATGCGGGGAAAAACACAGCATACAGTTACTTGTGCTCCAATTCTGATTATAGCGAGTACTTACAGCATTATTAAAATGCCATATATTTGGGCAATATCTGGAAAGAAAGATGTAAAAACTTAGTCTTTTGGGGGAGGCGTTATGGATGAATTAATTTGTTATGTTAAAAAGGAAAGGATATGATAAAAAGGAAAGAAAAATCAATGTTCTGCTCTCAAAAGAAATGTTTTTCACAAAGGCTTTTGGCTAGGATGAGCACTGAGGAGCCTTCCGTTTTAAAGTCTTTTTGTAGAAGGAAGGATCTGGGCCCTATATGGGTGGATTGTTTAAGTATACAAGCATGCCTCGTGTGTTTTGGGGTGATGGAGGTGTGGAATGTGAGGGCAACTCTTAATGGTTCCCAAACTATATCTGAACTGTGTTTATGACACAGCAGAAAACATCTTACTGAGAATATTGGGAAACCCCTTGACTAGAAAAAGTAGTTGTGTGAGATGCGGGAGAAAGAAAGAAAAATTTCCAAAAGCCTGAAGGAACAATGTGCACAGCTAAAACCTGATTATCAAGGCCAGTGTTTCATTTATGCCTACATGGGTGTTCTTATGCTAATATTCCAATTCATGACAAACTCATGTGTGCAGAGTAGAACTGCTCCATAGGGTTTCAAGGCTGTGACCTTTGGAAGCAGATCACCAGGCCTGTCTTCCGAGGCACCTCTGAGTGGGTTATAACTGCCAGCCTTTCCTCTAGTAGTCAGTCAAACCCTTGATTGTTTCCACCAGTAACTCATTATTGAACCCTTATTCAGAATTTTTTGTGGGCTTTAGTGCTTTGATTTGTAAAGATTACTGAACTTTAATATAGACCCTCTCTTCCCACCCTAGGAAGCAGAAAGGCCAGGAATTTCAGACGAATGAAAATTGTAGCTCTGAGCAAAAACCGTCCCAGTAGGGAAATTCTGAGAATATTAGCACCTCAATGAAAGTGATAGACAGCCGGGCAACAGATCGCACGTTGGGTTGGAGGTTGCCTCCTGGTTATTTACTTAATGAATGGTTTATTTCCTTAGCCACCTGTTAAACGTGCTGGGACGGTAGTTGTCTACTAACAAAGCTCCTGATGGACAGCTTTCCTGCGCTCCTGATGCGTCCTCTCCTGGCCCTTCTCTCTCTCCCTGGGGGCAGACAAAAGGGTCTCAGTGATGCATTCATAGTCAAAGCCACTTTATCCTCTGGAATCCAGAGTATACTCAGCAGGGATGCTTTAGTAGGTGGCCCTGTCCTCTTCCCTTCCTCCAACCCGTATCTACCACAGAACCCAGGACCTCTTTTGCTAGAGTCGGCTTCACCTTCTCTAACCTCCCTCCTCCCCAGCCCTCCTCCAATAATAACAGAGTGACCTTTTTCGGTCATCTCTATCATTCAGTGATAATATCCCTTATATAGATAGGAGCTCACTAAGTGTTAGAATTAATCACCATGATCATCCAGCGTGGTAGGGAAGGCAAGACATTTTCATCCTGACTTTATAGCTCTGGAATCTTCCCCAGAAGTTTAGAGAAGTGAACTACAAACGAACGTCTCTTTTTCCTCATCCTGAGAGGGTGCCTGGAACTTTGTAAGTGGGGTCCAAAGGCAGCAGCGTGTGAGAAGCCCGGAAAGTGAGCTGTGGGTGGTTATCCTCCCTCGTCCTGGGTGCTCTGTTGGAGCTGTCAGCAAGAAAGAGTCAGCAGAGTAACCTTGCCAGAAGTGCCAGTCAAGAATGTTCAAGAACTGTGCAAGCAAATGGCTCCTAAACCGTGCTGGAGGAAGGGTTTCTTTAGTGAATACATTGTAGGGAAAAAAGTGAAGGAGAATTTAGGAGACTTAAGAGACATAGCAACCGTGTACCTATGTAGACTTTGAATCCTAATTTGAACAAATGACTAAAATAATTAAATAAATATATGCATATATATTTACAGTAAGGAATTACAGTTAATATTTTCGGTATGGTCAGTGGTTATGCTTTTTAAGAATTATTATTTTTTTACTTTGGCAGATTGTATATAACAAAACTTTTGCCATTTTAAGGATTTTTAAGCATACAATTCAGTGATGTTAATTATATTAATTATAATTATTAATTATAATTAATTATATATATAATTATATATACATGTTGTACAGCCATCACCAATACCCATTTAATAGTCACTGTCTTTTAAAGACAACAGTCTGAGATAGTTATGAATCAAATAATATATCAGTATCAAATAGTCCATTATGAAGGAAGTGGTAGTGATATAGATGAGACAAAATTGGCTGTGAGCTGAGAATTGTGGAAGTTCCGTGATGAGGTACATGAGGGATTATCACACTACTATTTCTACTTTGGTATATGTTTAAAATTTTCTGTAATGAAAAGTTTTAAGTAGCTAAAAAAGCCACTGTCACGTATCCCCCTGTGTTTGACAGAGTCTGCGGAAGGTTACAGATGTGAACGGTGTGGGAAAGTTTTTACCTACAGATATTACAGAGATAAGCACCTCAAGTACACCTCCTGTGTGGACAAGGGTGATAGGAAGTTTCCCTGTTCTCTCTGCAAGCGGTCCTTTGAGAAACGAGACCGCCTCCGCATCCACATCCTTCACGTACATGAGAAGCACCGGCCTCACAAGGTAAGATTCAGGAGGTGAGCGAACCTGGACTGTTACTCTTCCCCTCTGTCTTTACACTCCCTCTCCAAACCCTTGAACACATACAGTGGGCCACCTGGGTGCTGGTTGCTAGGATACAGTGCCTGATGAGCCAGGATCTCTGGAGGAGGTGACGCTGCTCTGGAAGAAGCAGGCGCGAACAGACAGGTGTAAGGTGTTAGGATGTACAGGGTAGAGAGGGGAACACGAAGAAAGGAGTGCCCACATCTACCTGGACACTTGGGTTATGAAGGGCTTCATAGAGAAGGTGGCCTTGCATTGAATCTTGAAGGAAAATTGGAGTATCTGTCTTGGATCAGAGGCATGGCTGGCTGGGGAGAGGAAAGTGTTGGGACATTCTAGGCAGGAAAAGCCTGGCATGTGGTTTTAGGTAACTGCTGGTTGTTCCATCATCTTTACAGGCATGCTGATAGGTACAGGTGAGGACGAAACACAGTCATGATCCAATGCCAGGCCTCTGTGGCATAGGAAGGCGGGAATAACGGCCGTAGGGAGCCATGTTCATGCCATTCCAGATGCTGGTCACTGCCAGGCTTGGTACAAAAAGAACAGTCTTTGAGTATGGATGGACTTGGGCTTGACTCCTTGCCTTGTCAGGATTAGCTATTTAGGCTGCAACCTTGAGCAACTCCTCCTAGCCTCACTTTTTGCCCCATTTGAAAACTTGGGGGTACAGGCAGTTCCTGGCTTATGATCGAGATCGTTCCTAAGTATGTCTCTAAGTCGCATTTGTAGGTAAGTGGGGACAGGCACATACTGTTCTTATTTAGCATCAGTTAGTCAAATGTTTGTCTTAGTGTATATTTTACCTTTCTGTGCATATAAAACACTTAAACACCGCTAAACCACAGAATGTTTTCAAGAACGTTACAAAGTAATGTGTGCATTCTTTATTATGAACTATTCTATTTAACTCGAATTTTTAATATAATAGACTTTATGGCAGTCCATTCGTAAGTATGAGTTGTCCGTAAGTCAGAAGTTCGTAACTCAGGGGCTGCCTGTACAGTATTTCTATGAGGGGTTTTTTTGTTGTTCTAGTTTCATTTATTTTTCATTTTCTAGAACAGGTTCTATTCCTAATTGCTACCCTTGTAACTCAAATATTTAATTTTTTTTTTGTTTTAATAAAGATAATACATCCCCATTAATAAAACTTCAAGCACTACAGAAAAATGGAAGAAGACTTTTAAAATACACCAAAATCTCACCAACATACTGTCCCTTCTGCGCATCTAAGCACACCTGGGAAGCACAGCACAGAAGCACGTGCACCCTGTCCCCGCCCCCGTGAGGGAAATAGTTCTTCCTTTTAGCAAATGTGGTTATCTTAAAAGTGGTATCAAAACCAAAGGCTACACATTTTTGTCTCTGGCAATCTCTCAGTGGTTTTGTCTGTTTTTCTTCACCTGGTTCAGAACTCCTGAGAAAGATTTGAAAGGAGTCACCAGCATCAAGAGTAAAGAGAAATGACATGAACTGTTCAGAAAATGGCTGTACTACATGCTTCCACTTGACCCCCAAAGTATTTTGCTTTTTTGGTAGGTTTGGCATTGTATTATTAGATTATCTGCCCCCCTGTATTGCCATTTTAGTCTACATATCACCACCACCCCCATAGATATTTAGCTTCTTGTCTCTAGTGGAGTGTTTGGCACACAGTCGGTACTCGATAAATACTTGTTGAATTAATTAATTGCACAGTGTTTGCAAGTTAATCACAGCCCTCTGGAGAAGACAGAGAAGTAGTCTTCACATGAGGAAAATCAGGCAGAAACTGACTTGCTGTAGTCATACAGTACTTGTTGACAAAGCAGGACTAATTCAAGTCTCTTTATTTTATACCATGATCCCGTCCAATTCCCACTTCTGATGTCGAAGTAATTGAAACCCAAAAGTGTTTGGTGAATTATGAAAATCATAATTTGACTCCTTTCAAATCTTTCTCAGGAGTTCTGAACCAGGTGAAGGAAAATAGGCAAAACCACTGAGAGATTGCCAGAGACAAAACGTATAGTCTTTGGTTTTGAGACCACTTTTAAAACAACCGCATTTGCTGAAAGAATTAGAGACAGGGTCTGGACCAGAACCCACGCAACCTGATTCTTCAGCTTAAGCTTGGCGATGGGCTGGATGGTCCTCTGCTTACAGTACATTAAACACAATAGTTCTTTCATGTTGTCCACACCCAGACAGACAAAATGTTCAAATGAATTAACTTGGTTGGAGAAGATGTGATTTCAATTATATATTTCTTTTTTGCCTCAGTGTTCTACGTGTGGGAAATGTTTCTCTCAGTCTTCCAGCCTAAACAAACACATGAGAATCCACTCTGGAGACAGACCGTACCAGTGTGTGTATTGTACAAAGGTAAATGTAAATCTCCTTCTAAGGCATCTTTCTGTTTTGAGCCCTGTTTGGGTGTTCATGGATAAGAACTTGAAGTGTAATGGTTAGCTTATAATGAGTTCTTGGTAAAGGTTAATCCATTATCATCTCTCCAATCCCCATTACCGCTCAAGTTTGCTAAAGATGGTCAGATACGGTGTTTTACTGCCTAGTTGGCAGTTAACACGCGTAATAAACACATCCCAAATTTACAGGGATCTGATAATCACAGATAATACTGCATGGTATTTAAGAATGTGGACTCTGCCAAAGTTCAAATCTTGCCTATGTAGTTTCCTCATTGGTAAAGTGGAGGAAATAAGTAGTCTTTGCCTTACAAAGTTAATTTACATGAGTTAATATACTATATAAGACACTTGGAACAGTGTCTGGCTCATTGTAAGAACTATTGAAAAGGTGGCTACTATTGTTCCTGTTTTAATCTGTGGAGATTTAAAATTGACAGAATGCTGCTGTTTTAACTTTCTAGAGGAACACTGCAGAAATGGCACCTAATCTATGTTATGCAGAATACTGAGTTGTAAAAAAGAAAAGAGAAATGCATGGTTATGGTTGCTGGAATAGAGACAACAGTTTGACCATGATGTTAGAAGTGTACACCAAATCCCTTCGTGTCCTGTTTTGATGATCTACATCAGCACTGTCCAGTGGAGGCAGCCATTAGCCATATGCAGCTATTTAAATCAATAAAAATGAAATAAAATGTAACATTTAGATCCTCAGTTGCACCAGCCAGATTTTAAGTGCTCAGAAGCCAGAGACCATCAAATTGGACAAGTCAGATACAGAACATTAGCATCATCCCAGAAAGTCCTATGGATAGCCCTGGTATAGACTATGTTTCTATCACCAAGAGTCATTTAAATTTTTAAAAATAAAGCTGTTAAAGGAATATAGGCAGTCTTAGTCAAGGATACTTCTGAAACTCCCAGAGAAGACCCAATGGTCTACCAGGCTTAGAGAAACTAATAAATCCAAAGAAAGAGTACATCAATGGAATGAAAGTAATCAGCTTTGAAAAATGGAGGTGGGAGACATAACTAGACCATAAGTAGATTAATAAAATTGATCGTGTCTGGGTATTCTGCACAAGTACAGTTTGTGCACCTTACTAAATAAAGCAACAATGTGCCAATCCTGAAAGGTCTTGTTGGGGCAGGTTGATACTCCCAGATAGCCCATTGTCATGCTTCTCTCTTAATCCCCCAAATTGGAAATCGCCAGTTTAAGCTAGTGTTTTATATCACTGTCAACGGACCGGAAAATCTAAGTCATTTTCTTATGCAGCCGATCCTCACTAGTAGTGGATTTGTATCTGTGAATTCGCCTTCTAGCTAAAATTTTTTGTAACCCCAAAATCAGTGCTCGTGATGCTTTCGCAGCTATTCACGGACATGCTGTGAGGACAAATACAAATTAGAAGAAAAAACAGAGAAACTTCATTCTCCCTATTGAAAAAAAGGGAAGAGGACCTCTCGCCCTTTTCTTAAGAGCATTTACATTAGAAAACTTGGTTCTTTCTTTGCCTCTTTGCAGTGTATGTAAATCTTTGTAAAGGCTAAATAAGCCTCTTGCCAATTTTATAACCCAGGCAGGTTTCCTCACTGGGCCTGGAAGTCATCTCTCTGATAAGTGATCAGTCAGGAAGATAGCGCCCCTGTCTCCCAGTTAGCTGGAGGGATAGGAACCTAACTCCTACTGGCGTTTGGCTTCAAGTTGTAAACCTACCTACAGTCAGAAAGATATGAAAAATTGATTTGTTTCCTTTAGCAAAGGCAATTTGGAAACACAGCGGCTATCCCAACTACCAGGCACATTTAGGATGGGCTATTGGTGTAGTGGTTAAGAGGTACTGCTGCTAACTAAAAGACTGGTCATTCAGATCCGCCAGGCGCTCCTTGGAAACCCTATGGGGCAGTTCTACTCTATCCTATAGGGTCACTAGGAGTCAGAATTGACTTGACCGCAGTGGGTTTGGTTTTTATATATGGCAAATGGTGCTGTCAAGTCCTCTAACTTGAGGACTAGTTATCATTTATCTTGAGAACATGTATGAAAGGGGCTGTCTCAGCTTGCCTATATAAAAGGGTAAAATCTCTTTCTGTCTTGGCAGTCTCTTTAGTGAACTACTAGTGATGCACATCACGTTCTGGTTTAATACTTATTCAATAGAAAACTGTTTTCTTTCTCTTCTACTTTGGTGGAGAGTTTGTCTAGGTTGGCAGGAGATATTTCTAAAATTATGCTTCTCCGCCAGCAATGCGCAGAGGCAAAGAATTTGAGTCTCCCAACTTGCGTGTTCCCAGCTGAAGTCAAAACAAAGCGACGCTCTGCCGTCTTGTTTCAGCTCTCATAATGTAAATCAGTGTCCTTTTCGAGGTCTATTCAGTGTCATGTTTTTTGTAACAAGTTTTGTGCTTTTGTTGGTGACTTCACTGTTCAAAGCGGCCCCCAAGTGTAGTGCTGAAGTACAGCCTAGTGTCCTAAGCACAAGAAGGCTGTGATGTGCATTACAGAGAAAACGTGTGTTAACGTCAGCTTTGTTCAGGCAGGAGCTCAATGTTAATGAATCAACAGTATATAATAAATAAGGTGTCTTTAAACAGAAATGCACTTAAAACAAGGTTATGTATTGTTCAGTTGACAAAAATGTTGTGACCAGAGACTTGCAGGAACCTAATCCTGTGTGCCCCCTTGGGCAGTCGTTCAGTATTTGCTATTATTTGCTAATACCGCGAATAATGAGAATCGGCTGTATCTCTAATACTGCTACTGGCATAGTATTGAAGTTAATGAGGAAAAGGTTATAAATAATAGAAAGAGAAGAAGGGGCCAAGAAAAGATATGTGAAAACAACAAAATACTTGGGAATGTAAAATGATACAGCCACTCTGGAAAACAGTGTGGGAATTTCTTTTAAAGCTAAACATGCAACTATCAAATGACCCAATTGCTCCTGGGCGTTTATCCCAGAGAGATGAAGACTTACATGTTCACACAGAAACCTGTGCACAAGTGTTTACAGCAGCTAGATTCATAACACTTCAAAACTGGGAACAACCCCCATGTCTTTCAATGGTTAAACAGACTGGTACCTCCGTATCACATAGTACTACTCGGCAATAAAAAGGGGCACACTGCTGATGCACGCAACAACCTGGATGAATCTGAGAGAGTTATGCTAAGTGAAAAAAGCCAACCCCCAGAGTTTACATGCTGTATGATTCATTTTAGGTAACATTATTTTAATGACAATGTGACACAAATGGAGAGCAGGTTTGGGGTTGCCAGGATTTAAGGAGGAAGCAGAAGCAGCAGGGAAGTGGGTATGGCTAAAAAAGGGCAACATGAGGGATTCTTCTGATGGCAATGTCTGGTATCTTGACTTGGTTGTGATATTGTACTATAGTGATCTTTTTTCTTTTTAGTTGTGGTGAAACTATGCATAACCAAACACACGCCATGTCAACAATTTCTACATGGACAATTCAGTAACATTGTTTACATTCTTCAAGTTGTGCGACCTTTTTCACTCTCCTTTCCCAAATCATTTCCACCGCCATTAACATAAACCTATTGCCCACTAAGCAAAATCTACCCCTTTCCCCACCCCTGGTAGCCATTAATAATAATCTTTCGTTTATACACATTTTGCTTATTTCATATAAGTGAGATCATGCAGTATTTGTCCTTTTGCAACTGACTCATTTCGCTCAACATGAGTCTTCAAGGTTCATCCATGTTGTGGCATGGATCAGGACTTTGTTTCTCTTTATAGCTGAGTAGTATTCCATTATGTATTTGTACCACATTTAGTTTATTCATTCGTCTGTTGATGAACATTTTGGTTGTTTCCATCTTTTGGCTATTGTGAAAAGTGCTGTAATGAACATTAGTGTATAGGTTCACATTCCAGTCTTCACTTCTGGTTATATACCTAGGATTGGTATCGCTGGGATATATGGTAGTTCTGTGTTCAGCTTTTTGAGGAACTACCAAACTGTTTTCCACAGTGGCTGTGCCATTTCACATTTCCAGTGGATGAGAGTTCCAGTTTCTCCACAACCTCGCCAACCCCTGTTTTCCGTTTGCACTGTAGTTTTCAAAATTGTTACCACTGCAGGAAACTGGGCAAAGAATACAGAGAATCTGTTATCACAACTGCATATAAATCTGTAATTAACCTCAAAATAAAAAGTTTAAAAAAGAAAAAAATCCAATAAGGTACTGATTTATACAAAGACTATTACTTTGGCCAACGTTAGTTTCTCCTGTAATGCAGTTTGTCTTGAAGTGTAGTCATAGGACCACTTGTATCAGAATCTCTAGGTACTTGGGCTCCTGGGTTTCGTGTCAGACTTCCTGAGTCAGACTCTGTGAGGTGAGGCTGAGAATCTGCATTTTTGACTAGACCCCCAAGTGATCTTGGTTGCACCGAAGAGCCACTACTCTAATTTTATTTTCTTGTTAGTTGCCATCAAGTCCATTCCAACTCATGGAAACCCCATATGTGTAGAGTAGAACTGCTCCATGGTATTTTCAAGGCTGTGACCTTTTGGAAGCAGATTACCAGGCCTGTCTTCTGAGGCACCTCTGGATGGATTTGAACCACCAACGTTTAGGCGCCTAACCATTTGTGCTACCCAGGGATTCCTCTCCAATCTCTAGTGCTATTCAAAACCAGTCAATCAAGTCCTTTCTCATTAAACTACCATTGACCAAGAATGCACTTTAGCCTTAAAATCCAAGGTTCATTAATTGGAGAACTAAGGGTGACCCAAGTTATTAGTAACAATGAGGTTAACCTTGTTTTATTGGTTGTCCAGCTCATGGAATTTTGCTTTTTCTTCTCCTTTCTATTCTCTGCCAGAAGTTCACTGCCTCCAGCATTCTCCGCACACATATTAGGCAGCACTCTGGGGAGAAGCCCTTCAAGTGCAAGTATTGTGGTAAATCTTTTGCATCCCATGCTGCCCATGACAGCCATGTCCGACGCTCACACAAGAATGACGACGATGGCTTCTCTGTGTCTGTGGGAAAACCTTCTCAGATCAAGAAGCGCTCTACTCTCACATGAAGTTGCATGAGTTCTCCCAGCCCTCAGAGTTTGGGGGCAGTGTGAAAACTAGGACTAAGAGTCTCTGTATTTCTTGTTATGGATGTGTCATGAGCAAATGATAGTAATATTGAGATGAGACAAATGAAGCTGACCGATTTGCTGAATTTACCACATTTATTGACTGGGGTTTTAACAGCTTTTGCGGAAATATTTTTCCCAAATTTTAACAAGAATTGTGTGTGCTGAGGTGAATTCACCTAGAAATAGTGAAAGCTGGTTGCTAACAGTGTGTGAGGGTGTAGAAAACTCAGCAGAAACCCTGAAAATGACTATAGAGGTCCCTGCCTTCTGGAAGACTTCTTGACTTATATAGAAGGCCCAGTCATCCCTTCATCTCAGGCACTGGCAAAAAAGGATCTTGATTGGCAAAAAGGATCCCTTTCCTCTACTATTTGCCTTGAGCCCCAAATTGTAATATGTCTTTGACCATCACCTGTTAATATTTCCTCATAGGACAAATTCTTTAAAAATTCATTCAAACTAGAACTTTATTAGTATTATAACTAAGTCATTCAAATGTAAACTAATCTTCCATCTTTTTTTTGATTCATTTTAAACCCTTGGTTCTCCCCCTCCCCCACCACCACCTGACAACTGTTGGTTAATAATTTCAGTTCAGTAGCACCAGACAAAATCACTTTGAGGGCATGGAAGTTGTTCATCCCACCATCTGAGACTTTTACCAATTGGGAAAGAAAAATTATTACCTAACAAAGAAAGACTGAGGAGTTCCAACAGGCTAAAAAATAAAGATATATAGAGATATTCCTGGTTTAAGTAGTTGGTTCATGCTAGTATAGAAAGTCTAAAAAAAATAGAGGTGCCCACTGGGGGCGAAAAATATTCTATGCAAGGTATCACCAGGCAAATGCAGGCTTGTGGAAATGATCTTTTCCAGTGTGCAGAGACAGCAGACTAGACTCATGGGTAATGGTAGCCAATATATATTGAGCATTTGTTTTACTACTTGCTACCACTGAGCCAAGGCCTTTATATGTATTCTCTAGCTGAGTCCTCACATTATCCCTATAATATGGTACCACTGAGTTTGCTGGGGAAATTGAGAACTCAAGCCGGGCCTACTCTGCTCCCAGACCTAGCCTCTTAACTAGCTGCTACACTCTATTCTATGAATCCTGCTCAGGAAATGGCATTATTCTACTAATTATTCCATTCTTCCAGTATTCACTGGAATAAGTAGAATAAAAGTGCTTCATAGGCAACCTGGCTACTAAGGACATGTCACATCCCTGGCCATGCTTCTTTTGACTGGCTAGGGTTTGTCTTCACCCTGGATCCACAGCCCAGCACTCAATATGGAGCACATTCGCCATGGACCAGATGCCCCCTCAACAGGGAGGCACCCAGCTGTGGCAGAGCCCTTTGAGCAATAGAGGTAGTGCAGGTGGAAAGGCAGTGACAGATCTTCCTCTGGGGATTCTTGGCTGAGCTGACTTGGCCTGAGTAATTGATCCTAATGGGAATGTGCCCTGTTGTATTAGCACTGTTCAGTTCATGTTAATTAAGACAGAACAATGGTCTTTTGAAAAGGTTGGGGCTCATCATGTAATTAGGCAGCCTTCTTTGACAGCTAGTCCAAACTACATTAGGTGAAACATTTTCTTACTGTTTGTGGATTTGAACACTTTATTTTTAAAATCAAACAGTAAAAAGCAAGACATCAGGATCTGGTTTGATGCCAATTTTTTCACTAGTTGAATAAATCAAATGAACTACTTTGTTCTTTGAAGCAGAATAGTGGCAACAGAAGGTCATTTTTTTGGCCCTTTTCTGACAGTCACTCCAAAAAGCATGCATGCCAAATAATACCTGCATACCACACTAAGTGGAAAACTGGGGACCGTAGTCATTTAATTTATTCCAACCTGATTCCCAAAGTTTTGGTCATATTGACCTACTTACATGTCTCAATTTTTGGTTCGTGACATCTTTCTTTAGTAGTTACCTTAATTTCTCTTATATTTATTTAAAATGTATAGCTCACTTATTTCTGAAACTAATTTAAACCAGTTTACATAATTTAAAAAAATAAACAAAAAAACATACTAAGACAGTTAAACAACAAATCATCACTTAGAAAGTAGAATGAGATAGAAACTCTTGTTGAGTATAATCACCTTGGCTGAACACTATTGGAAACAGCAAGATGTAACAAACAATATAGATTTTGGAGTCAGACGAACTTATGTGTACACCATTTCCTCATTGTATAATGTTGGGCAAGTTATTTTTTTGAGGTTTAATTTCCTCATCCGTAAAATAATGTAATCGTTCCATCATAGGGTGTTGTGGAGGTTAATGAGAAGACAGCTGTTCGTGGCAATACTTGATACATCGACTTCACTCCCTTAACCTGCCAGTGAAGGCAAAAGAAAGACAAAGAATTATTGCAAATGTTATTATTGATAGACAGTATATACTTTATTTCAGTGGTTCTCAAAAGTGGTTTCTGGGCCAGCACCATCAGCCTCACTCGGGAACTTGCCAGAAATGCAAAATTGTTAACCTTACTCAAGACCTCCTAGATCAAAGTCTCGGGGAGAGGCCCAGCAATCTGTTAGTAAGTCCCCTGTACGTGGTTCTGATGCCCACTGAAGTTTGAGAAACACTACTTCGGTCCATCCTCCCAGCCCCTGCAACCTAACAGTGGGTCAAACTGAGTAGTTAAGTGACTTGAAAGATCACAAAGTTATTCACTAGGAGAAACCATTAAAATGCAGGTCAAAGGCAGAATCATTCTCTTACTGGGAATAAAGGCCACCAATAGAACACAGTCTGGTCATTTTACTGTTAGAAATACAGAGCTCTGCGGCTATTAGCCATTTCGATGGAATTTAGAGACTTTCTCATAAAGTATTTTCTCTGCTCTTATTTTCCCTACTTGAGACTACATCTCATGATAAATATCATCTGTTCACTCATTGGAGTTTAAAAAACAAGTATAAAAAACAGACATCTGAACCCTGGAAAAATAACTAGGCGCAGAGTAAACTGGCCATCCTGGTATTGATGAAGCTGTTAATGGGCCCTCAGGGTGTCCTTCAGGGACTCAGGGAAGTTGCAGTGAACAAAGCTATCAGAGTAGACAGATGCTTAGGACCTCTGTGGGGCCTGCAGTAACCTCAATATTGTGACCATAAAGTCATAGCTTGGTTTGTACCCAGGCGATGTGTAGGGCAGGCTGGGGGTTGGGAGGAACCGTTTTTCACTGCATGATAATTAGAGATAACATCACAATGACTGTTTTGGACCACCTATTATTAGTGGGCCCAGTTTTTTACTTCTGTTTTTATTGTAAATACTGTAACACAGTATTTGTCAATTCAACATTTTTCAGGTGTACAATTTAGTGATATCATTCATCCTGTACAGCCATCACCCATAAACAAACAGTAAACAAAAACTCCCCCTTTCTTCCTTCTGGCCCCTGGTAACCACTAATAAACTTTGGTCCATATACATGTGGAAAATGGCCGGCGGTGGGGCAGTGTCTGACCGCCTCTAACTTCACAAGGGGGAAGAACCAGGAGCCCAAGTCTGATTCCTATGAAGCAGAGGCCAGACATGCCTCCACCCCCCACCCTTTTTGTTAATTTGGACACCATCTGTCCCTCCCACAGCACTCTCGTTCTCCGGGGGGTTCGATAATTTCATGCAGTGGCCACAGAATTCACAGACCATACTGTTACGGGGTTTATTAGCGAAGTAACAGGTTACAATTCTGGATCAGAAAATACTCAACAGTTCTTCCATTAGGACAGCCTCATCCCAGCTGTGCTTGAAGGCAGGTCTCTCTTTGGCCCTCAGCTGGGCCTCTGCCCTGCTTGGGCAAGTGTTACAAAGTTCTAGCTCCACCAAAAAGTGCCCAGAAGCACACACTCCGCCAGCAAGCCTTCTGTCCAAGGGTGCTCACCTTCTTGGTCTGTAGGCTGGGAAATCCACAGCGTCATCTGCCGGTCTCCTGGTTCTGCTACTTCTGCTGCCGCCGTTTCTCTGCCACTGTTTCTTGCCGTCATGCTGTCTTCGGTGTTACAGCTCTGTCTCCTGGGTCCAGGATGCACTCTGCCCTGGTCTCCTCTTCTTGGTGCTCTGCTCTGGAATTGGCTCTTTTAAGCCTAGCATGATGGCAAAACTGACCAATCCCCTGCTTAGGGTTCCATATACCTTATTTGCATAGTCTCATACCTATAAGGGTGCCATGAACCTTATTTACATTATTAGCAAGCTATCCAATCCCCTTGGTGGGCCACAAGTACTTCATTTGCATAGTCCCACCCAGGCATTTGGTGGGAGTTACAAAAACTCTGGGTAAAAACCAACCAAACCTGTTGCCGTTGAGTCGATTCCGACTCATAGCGACCCCATAGGACAGAGTAGAACTGCCCCATAGAGTTTCCAAGGAGCACCTGATAGATTCAAACTGCCAACCTTTTGGTTAGCAGCCATAGCACTTAACCACTACGCCACCACGGTTTCCAAAAACTAGGGATAGAAGGGCCATATTAAATAAGTCACTACACCGAAACATTTGCCTATTCTTGTTTTCGTATAAGTGAGACCGTACAGTATTTGTCTGCTAGTGATTGACTTATGTCACTTGGCATGAGATTTTCAAGGTTCATCCATGTTGTAGCATGGATCAGGATTTCATGTCTCTCTATCGCTGAGTAGTATTCCATTGTGTGTATGTACCACATTTTGTTTGTCCATGCATCTGTTGATGGGCATTTAGGTTATTTTCACCTTTTGGCTATTGTGAATAGTGCTGCAGTGAACATTGGTATACGTGTGTATTCGCATTGCTGCTTTCAGGTCTCTTGGGGGTATACTAGGAGTGGAATTGCTGAGTCATATGGTAGTTCTAAGGAGTCCTGGTGGTGCAGAGTGGTTAAGTGCTCGACTGCTAACCAGAAGATTGGAGCTTCGAACCCACCAGC